ACGCATTGGTAAGCTGTCCTAAACCTGTGCTGCTGGGAAGTGTCCTGGTGCAGCAAGGGAAGTTCTCTGACTATCAGTAAGAACATCCTCTGGTCTGTAGCTCCCAGCAGCCCAGGGGAATTACAAAGCCTGTTTTAAGCACAAATTTCAGAACCTAAAAGGAGGCATATCTGGCTCTGCAACAACTCCAGGACTGAAATGCTTACCTGGTTCTCCCAGCTATTAAATAAAAGGACTCTAACACACAGGAGTACTTCACCTCCCTCAATCAGGGAATAAAGCAATCCGTGTAACATTCATTTCTTCAGACACACCGAGTCTGGCTACAGGCTAAGAACCACATCGTGCTGTGTAGAGTTGGAATAATGGAGGGGAACAAACACCATGACAGCACACACAGCAAAATCCGCTTCACCAGCCAGCAGTTAGGTGACATAACTGAGGTTCCCAGATCCCAGCTGCAGATCCTGCAGCACTGAAACCACAGGAGAGGCTCTCCAGCTCAACAGTTCTGATGCAGAGTATCATTTCCCCACCATTAGACTGAGGCAGAAGGAGGTAAACAGAACTGCAGTACATTTGCCTTCCATCTGTGAAAGTGAGAGGAAAAAGAGGAAACTGACGGCATAACCCTGAAATCCGCCACCCTGAGTTAAGAAGGAAGGAACAGACCAAACACCATGCTGTCACAGCACAGTGCACGGGCCAAACAGCACCTGGAAACATAGGTGGACATTGAAATTTGTCAACTAGAAAGACCATCTACAAAACGTACTGAGCTCTTTTCCAGGTAACTCCTGAGTGTGATACAAGGCAAATTCAGATATTTCCCATTCATCTTGCTGTGCCAATGCAGCAATTTGGATCATCTCCCCAGAACCAAGCTGCTCAAAAGTGTAATGCTCTGAGCTCACCTCACCTCCCATCATCCAGCATGGGAGTCTGCAGACATCCCATCTGTTTCAAATCTCCCCATTTGTTTTCAAGCGCTTTTTCTTTTACAACCTGAATTGCTTTTTGGCTTGCAGAGAGGTGCAGATTCCAAACCGGGAAGAAAAAGTGGTTTTTTTTTTTTATATTTTCTCATAAGCAAAACTTCATGACAATTAAGACATCTGCCAAGCCAACACTCACTGCAATTAGAATGGAAATACTTGACCCTATCATGAAGCTACAAATACAGATGCTACACCAAAGACGCAGAAAGGCATTTCTTTGCCCAGTTGAGTGTGGTCCTCAGGGCAAGGGACAGCCTAGGTAAGAAAGCCCATGAGCCAAAATGCAACACAAACAGGTGCACTCAAACACACTGCAAAGCCCCGACACTGCCTGAGTCACCGGATCAAAGCATCAATCACCATAACAGGAACACAACCGCAGGGCTGAAGGCAGCCAGCCGAGCCTATGAATGAAGTGGGAATGCCATGTTTATCTCAGCACGTGTGCACGCTGAGCAGGAAGGAGAGGAGCGACCCTGCACCAGCAGCCCACCTGCTCCTCCTGCCTGGTCAGCTGAAAAAGCATGGAGAGATGCGGCCAAGCAACGGCTGCAGATTCACGTCAGCAGTTCCCGCCACGATGGGCAGATGAGTGGAAAAAAAAAAAAAAAACATGCCTGGCACAGCGCCCACACATACATCCCAGGAGTGGGGAAAAGAGGCAGGGGGCACATACCATCTACCAGCCCCAGATCAGCTTTCTGGTGCAGGAAGCTGGCTGGTGCCAGAAGAGCGGCCTCTCACTGCCCCCCGCGCACCTCTGAGCTCCCCGCAGCACCCACACCTCCTGCCCCGCCGTGAGCCTACCTTTCTTGAACTCCTCCAGCATGGCGTCGAGCTTGGTGTCGTTGAAGACAAAGTGCAGCGGGTGGTTGTAGAAGCGGGTGATGGTCTTGAGCAGAGTGCAGTCGTCAGGGTCCACAAAAGCCAGGTCCTTGACGAAGAGCAGGTCCACGATGTTGGAACGGTCACCCTCAAAAACGGGGATGCGGGTGTAGCCGCTCTCCATGATCTCAGACATAGTGTTGAAGTCCAGCACAGCCTCAGCGGCAATCATGAAGCAGTCTCGGAGCGGAGTCATCACGTCCTCCACCGTCTTGGTGCGCAGCTCCAGGGCTCCCTGTATGATGTTGAGCTCCTCCTTGACCAGGTCGTTATAAGGGTCGGTGACCCGCAGCATCTCCAGCAACTTCTCACGGTTGTAGACCGTACCGATCTCCTGGCCCAGCACGCAGTCCAGCAGCTTGCTGACCGGGTAGGAGGCCGGGAAGGTCATCATCATGAAAAACTTGGTGAGGAAGATGGTGTTGGCGCCCACGGCCAGGCCGTGCCGAGAGCAAATGGCCTGCGGCACGATCTCGCCGAAGATGACGATACCGATGGTGGAGACCACCACGGCCACCAGCCCAGAGCCAGCGATGTCGTCCAGCAGGATGGTCAGCGTGGTGTTGACCAGGACGTTGCCCAGCAGGAGGGAGCACAGCAGGTAGTTGCCCTGGCGGCGCACGGGCTCGATGCGCTTGGCGTAGTTCTTCTCCTTGTCGGTGCCGCAGTTCTGCACGATGCGCAGCTCCATGGGGTCCAGGGCCATCAGGCCCAGGTTGAGGCCGCTGAACATGCCCGAGAGGCAGAGCAGCAACGAGATGAAGATCACCTGCAGCCAGAAGGGCAGCAGGAACTTCTTCTCCTCGCCCACGATCATCTTGGTGTCCTCTCCGTCGTGGTAGATCCAGGTGGTCTCGCCCCACGGCGGCGGCCCGTCCCGCCCCTCGGCGTCCACCATCCTCCCGGCGGCCCCGGGCCCCAGCGCGGCGGCGGAGACGGAGGTGCACAGGTAGTAGGACTTGCTCTTCTCCGTCTTGCGCAGGGGCTTGATCTCGATCTCGATGATGCCGGAGGTGCGGCGGTTGAGCACGATGTGCGGCAGGATGATGATGTCCGACGTGCGGATGCCGCAGCGCTGCGGGGCTCCGCCGCCGCCTCCCGCCGAACCGCCGCCGCCTCCGCCGCCGCCGCGCCCCGCCGCCCCCGCCGCCGCCCGCCCGCCCCGCCGCCGCTCGTGCTCCGTGAAGGCGATGCGCGACCACGTCTCGTTGTTGATGTTCTGCCCGTAGACCCGCAGCTTCACCCGCGTCCGCTCGCTCACCCGCAGCGCTCCCCCCTCCATGAAGGAGACGTCGTCCGTGTCCTCCAGCCGCAGGCCGATGATCACCGTCTCCTCCGCCGACGGGACGGAGGCGGCGGGCGGCGCGACGGCGGCGGCGTTGGCCGGGGGCCGGCCGAGGCAGGCGGCGAGCAGCAGCAGCAGCAGCAGCTCCACCCGCGCCCCCCGGCCGCCCCCCGCCATGTTCCCACCGGGCAGCGCGGCCATCTTTAGTCAGGGCTCGGCGCCGCCGCGGCCCCGCATCGCCGCTCGGCGCCTGCGGCGTGCCCCGGTCCCCCGGCGGCGGCGGTGGCGGCGGCGGGCGCGGTGGCGGCGGGCGAGGCGGCGGGCACGGCTGCCCGCGGGACCCGACGGGCGGCGACTGCCGGGCCGGGCCGAGCCGAGAGCCGCCTCAAGCCGCTGCCCCGCCCGCCCCTCCCCGCCCGCCGCGCGGGGGGCGGGGCCTCGGCCGCGCTCGGCCAATCGCCGCCCGCGAGCGGCCCGGGGGGCGTGGCCATCGGCCCGGCCCTCCGCCGCCGGCCTCTGCCGCGGCCTCAGCCCGAGGGGCGCGTGACTCCGGTGTGTACGCCAGGCGGCGGGGGGAGGAGCCGGCCGCGAGGAGGCGGCCAATAGCGGCGCGGCCGAGGGCTGGAGGGGTGGAGCCTCGGAGGGGCGCGACCAATGAGAGCGCGGAGCGGCTGGCGAGTCGGAGCCGGCGCGTGCTGCGCTCGGCGGGGGGACGGGACGGAGAGGGTCGGGACGGGACGGGACGGGACGGGACGGGACGGGACGGGACGGGACGGAGCGGGCAAAGCAGAACGGGACGGCCCGCTCGGCGTCGGTCCTCCCGCCCGCCCGCCGCTGCCGCCGCCCCGTCTCCACATCCCGCCGCCCCACAGCGCGCCGCTATCCGCGCCCCGGCTCCGCTCCGCCGTCGCCTCTCTTTGCTCGGCGGTCGCGCAGCGCCCCCTGGCGGCCACTCGCCGCCTTCCCCGCGGAGCGCTGACAGCGCGCATAGCGCAGCGCCGCGCCGGTGTAGCGGGCGTGGTGTAACGGGCTGATAGTTGGGTTTAGCGGTCTTTTCCAACCGTAATGGTTCTATGATGCTAAGATCTCCACGTTTCTTGAACATCTCCAGGCCCGTGGGTCGCCCCATCCAGCTACCAGAAGTCTCTCTCCCGACACACGCGGTGCTGCCGGGCCATCGGGAGCAGCTCCCGGGACGGACGGGATTTGTACCGTCCCGGACACGCACGGCACGAGGGGTTGGGATGCTCACATGGCTGAGCTCGGTCCGGGCTGGGACGGCACTGCCGCTCAGCGCCAGGGCCCGAGGCTGCAGGACTCGGGGCACGGCCGCCGCAGCGCCGGGTCTGCAGAACCGCCGCATTTCCCTGCACAAACTTGCAGGCTCAGCGCTTGCGGAGCTCCCCGCTAGATGGAGTGCGGGGAAAAAACAAAGCTCAGCAGCACCGTACGGGGCAGGGATTGGAATCCCGGCTCCCGGAGCGGACGGTGGGGCTGTCCCTGCCCGAGGGCCGGCTGCAGAAAATGCAGAGGTCGGCACGGAGAGGTTAAAGCAGGAAGAGCAGCTAGACTGCGCCTTTTGTTTCTCAGGAGCACTGGCTGAGAACTGTGGGCTCCCAAAGATTTCTCCCCCGCCTTTGCAGCCGCCCTGCCCGGCCCCGGCATGCTCACGGGAACGTCGGGGATCCAGGCGCTCCATGTGATGTGAGCTCACGTCCACAATCTGGTCCGCAGCGCTCCCCGTGGCCGTGCAGGGCGGTGAGACGTTCCGCACGAAGGGATCCCCAAGGTGCTGCTCACCCTCACCCCCAGGCAAGAAAGCGCACCCCAGCTCAGCCACACTCCTCAACTATTTCTTTATATTTTCCCTCCGGTGAAGCCGCAGCTCCCCGGCTCCCAACGCTGTGGGGACATCGCTCTCCACTCAGCAGCCCTGCGGCCCGCAGGTCCTGGCAGCACCACAGGCAGGAGCTGGGGCTGCCTGCTGGTGCAGCAGCAGGAAGGGGTCACAGATCTTCTCCTGGAGGGCAGAGAACAACGAGGGATGGGGTCAGGCCATGGGGAAGCAGCAGTTCCCCACTACTTGCTCCAAACCCCAGCAGAATGCCATAGGCAACAGCAGATTAGCCCATTCACTTTGCCACTCCATAAGGGGGATGCTGAGAGCTTCTCTGGAACTTTCACTGTGCTTTTATCTGAGAAATGCTTGGACAGGGACCAAAGACTCAAGTGCAAGACTGCGTTTCAGGGACAGGCAGCTGCAGGGCTTTATCTCCTTTGCCTGTCAGTGACCCCCATTTCATAGCCCCAGCTGGCCCAACTGAGGCTGAAAGGGTGAGCAAGGGGCAAGGAGAGGCTGCCAGCAGATAAAGGAGTTGCAGGGTCAGGGTTGGCAGCTAGAGCCAAGCTCACAGCAGCAGAAAGGGGCAGCTGCGGGTGGCCACCACCTGCCTAGTATCTGCCATGGAGACCTCCAGCAGGTTCAGCCACCAGTCCCAGTGTCCCCCAGATATCTGCAGGGGATGAAGGGCTCTCAAGCCACAGCAAACCCCTTTGGAGGCAAAATAAACCTCAGCAACCTCAAAAGGGGTACAGTTGCTCAAACTCAGGCACCAGGTGCCATCCAGTCTCCCATAGGCGCCTGCCTGGCCCAGAAGAACATGGTGCCATGCGTCCCCCACTGACACTTCAGGGTAGCCCTGTGATAGCACACAGCAGCAGCGTCCCCATCCCAGAGCCCAACACATAGCTACCAACCTTCATCTTCCCATGACAGCAGCCTTGTGGTGCAGCACCGTCGGTTCCACCAGCCCGGATCAGGAACTTGTCCGCAAACCTGGAGCTCCGCAATATCGCAGCCATTTCAGCATCCACATCCACCACTTCTCCTTCCTGGGGAGAGGAAAACATCATGGGGCTGGAGACTGGGACATGTAGCCCAGGGGTCCCCAGCTGCCCAGAGAGATGATGCTCAAAGCCCAGCCCAAAACTTGGAGATACACTCACAGCTGTCTGCAAACCACCTGGTGTAGCACCAGGGTCATACTAGTCCCATCTTCACCCCAACACATTGCACAGCTCCGACTTCCTCTCCATGCCCTGTTTGTAGCTCCCCTGGTTTATATGGAATTTTAGGATCATGCAATTGGAAAAGACCACTAGGATCATCCAATCCAACCATCAACCCATTCTGACCATGCCCACTAACCATATCCCCCAGTGCCACATCTTCATGGTTCATGAATACCTCCAGGGACAGTAACCCCACCACCTCCCTGGGCAGCCTGTTCCAATGCCTCACCACTCTTTCTGAGAATAGATTTTTCCTAACGTCCAACCTGAACCTTCCATAGTGTCATCCCTGGGAGCCCAAATGTGCCTCCCCATACCTTGAAGGTGAAGTTGGCATCAAACACCAGCTCTCGCTCATGCCCCACAATCCCACCATTGTAGATGACCTGGCCTGGCCCAGCCTGGCTGCTCCCTGGCACCTTGAAGAGCCGGAACGTGGCAGAGACGAAGCAGCAGTCACCTGCAAGGGAAAGGCACTGGACATGGGGTCCCAGTGCAGTCCTCAAGACCAAATGGAGATGGTGGAACCCTCACCAATGATTCTCTCCAGCTCCTTGTTGCTGACAGTGATGGGACTGGCGGTGACCAGGCACGGAGGGCTGAAACCCACCTCCTTGGCAATGCTGTACAAGTCTCTCCAGAACAGGGCTCCTGCCAGGCACTCTCCTGTGACAAGGATATGGGCACAGTGACACCATGCACATCAGACCCAAAGGCTTCCCATCCCATGTGTTGCAGTGCTCTACACACCCCACAGCACTCTGTGCTTCCTCACGGCTTCATTCAGGTGCTGGTTGGCATAGACATCACTGAAGTACATCTCTCCTCCAGGCTGAAAGGCAGTAAGAAGTGGATGGGAGATGATGGGACTAAACAGGCACCTGCAGCAGGTCCATCCCAGCCCCACTTGGCTCCCTACCTTCAGCACACGGTAGGCCTCCCGAAGCACAGCCCTCTTGTCAGGGGCGAGGTTGATCACACAGTTGGAGCTGGAAGAACACCAAAGATTCTTTGCAGCATCATCACCTATGCTCAGCACCACCAGCTGCACACAGTCCATCACTCATTGCAAGATTCAACCATGAAAAAGGGAAATTCCATATTCCCAGGCTATAGCTTAGATCCTACCTTTAGTTTTTAATTCCCTAACACATTGTTGAAGTGAGCAGCCCAGCAGGAATATACATAGAATCATAGAACAGCTTAGGTTAGAGGGGATCTTAAAGTCCATCCAAATCCAAACCTCTGTGGTGGGCTGCGTTCCTCCCACCAGATCAGGACCCAGGGGTCCATCCAATCTGGTCATGAATGCCTCCAGGAATCGGGCACCCACAGCTCTCTGAGCAGCAGTGCCAGGGCTTCACTTTCCTCTGAATAAAGAATTTCTTCCTAACATCTCACTTCAATCTCTTCTCTTTTAGTTAAAAACCATTCTGGATGATATCCCTTCCTTCCATTGCATCAACTGCTCCACTCATCTTGGTGTCATCAGTAAACTTGCTGAGTGTGCTCTCAATCCCACTGTCTATATCACTGATAAAGATGTCAAAGAGCATCAGTCCCGAAATGGACCCCTTGGGGATGTGGGTGTAAGTCCAGTACAATCTCTGCAGGGTACCTACATGACAATATCATAGCTCTCATCAGTCAGCCCAACATCACCAAGGTTCTCCATGTAGCCCTGGAGGAATTCCACGTTTGGCTTTTGGTAGCCGAACTTCTTCATGTGATAGGCAATGTGCTTCTTCGCCAGCTCAACCTGGGAGGAGGAAGGGAAAGAGTATGGTAGGACTCAGGGTGGGGACAAGGTGACCCCGTGGATGGCCCTATGCCATACCTGTGCCTCAGTCATGTCGATGCCGGTGACATGGCCCTGCTCCCCCACCAGCTGGCTCAGCATGTAGCAGTCCCTGCCGCTGCCACTGCCCAGGTCCAGGACCCGGCAGGACGCCAGGCACTCGGGGATGACCAGGCCACAGCCATAGTACCTGGGGGGGTTGGGCTAAGAGGGGGTGCAGTCCATGGGAGGTGGCATAGGGGGGAAGTGCGAGGCTCACCTGGCCACCACCTCCTCATGGACACGCTGCAGAGCATCCCTCACTGCCTTGGGAACAGGCCTGGTCGGTGTGATGCAAGCGTTGGTTTTCAGGTCCTCTGACTTCTGCAGCTCTCTGCCATAGTAATCCTGACAAAGCAAAGACAGGGGCCATCCGACTGCAGCAAGCTGGGCCGTGGTGCCTCCACACACACCAAACCTGGGGTCATGCGGCTTGCACACCAGCACTGCCCTCTGCAGCTAAAAATCTGGGCAACGTTACATGTTTCTCCATCCCAACCCTCCCCAGCTTCATCTGCTCATCCCTTCCCATCCCCATCATGAAGATGAGCAAAATGCTGCTCCAAAACTCCACTGACAGCAGCCGGCTGCTCTTAGCACTTTCACCAGGATCCTGCAGTGAACTTTGTCCTGTGCCAACTCTGCCTTGGCTCAGCACTCCTTCCAACCCCCTGCTCACACCCTCACCTGCACCTCGTGGTGGATCTGGTCCCGGGAGATTTGGTCCTCAGGGGCGCCATCCCTGCACGGGGCAGCCACTGCAGCAACAGAGCACAGAGCTGGTGCCAACGCCACTACCATGGGCACCACTACAGGGCCTTAACAAAGCCCCTCCTCAAAATACAAAACCACTTCCCTTGCCTCCGTCTGACAACCCCAGGGAGGCCCCAGACCCGCATCCTAGTGGGAAGAGCACCCCTTGCTAACGCTCCAGTTGAAACACCCCAACCCCACCCCTGCCAGAGATATCCCTGTAGGGCAAATCCTCCTTCCACAATGTCTCCCAGGGTCCCCTGTGGGACAGGGCCCAGCACCCTGAAGTGTGCCTTACTGCTTCCAGCTGCAGCTCAGCCACGCTCCGCCCCAGCTCTCTGCTTCCGCCCAAGGTCAGTTCCCAGCAGGCCTCAAACCCTGGCACACAGCCCTGCCTGCTGCCAGCATCTGCAGCCATTCTCATCCAGCTGTGTCCCTCTCACAGCACAGCCCATCCCAGCCTCCTGCTTGCCCCAAATGCAGGGAGACCACAGGGTGATGTTCCAACCCCTGCAGATGGGAGCTCCGGTGGGGAGTAAGCCATCTGCAACAAGGACACTGTCCACAGGAAGACCCTGGAGCTGAAGCAGGAGGGAGTATGCCATGCTGTTCCACACTGGTCAGGGTGACTGGCAGCACACATAGCTGCAGCATGGTAGTGGCTGGGACAGCTCTTTTACTCTCAAGAAGCTCCAGGGAAACTGTTCCAGAGGGCTGCTTTGATCCAAGTACCAGGAACCCCCAGGGCACAAACATCCCCTGGCACCCCATCGTTTAGGTGTCACCTCACACAGTGCAGGGTACAACCCCTGCTATCAAGGTAACCATACACAAGAGATGAAAAGATTACAGACTTAAGGTGTAGAAAACCAAGCTTTTATAACAACAAAGCAAATCACTGCATGGCTCTCCATGCCCTCCATGGCTCTGTTCTTGCCTGAGCAGAGGCACAGTGCAGAGGAAAAGCTAACGGTACCACTGGACACCTCAAAAGAAACATACATTGGGCACTGCAAGGTGAGGGGAGGCAGGCAGTGGTTCTGGAAGAGCAGCAAGGGCAGAGCCACATGGCACTGCAAACCAGCAAAACCACGCTGCAGGAATGCAGCAAGTTGATCCATGCTCTTGTCCTATCAGCTGATGAAAGGCTCACTCGGGCTAACAAGTGCTTCCAGTGTGCTCCAAGTGCTTCAGATAACAGACTCAAGAAAAATGAGGCATAGTATTTATAGCTCGTACCTCATTTCACTGAGAAGCAAGCAGGAACCCAGACACTAAGACCTCAGCACAGAGCAGTGCAGAACTGAATACATTGGCTCCTGACATTCCTTTGCCCCTCACTGCCCACATCCCAACCATGTCTCTGGACACCTTCCCAATCTGACAGATACACAGCACTACCAAGGCTGCTTAATCAAGAACTGGAGGAGCAAGCCAGAATTGGAATGCAATTGAAGGCCAAAAGCAGCGCAGATGCACTGGCAAAGAGATGACATTCCAAATTCTGGCTTAGCAAAAAATGAGATAAGCTCAGAGCAGGATGCTCACCAAGCCTCCTCCAGCTGGCTCAGTGGTGCCTGCCCAGATTCACGCTTTCTAAAATTCTGCTCTGTGACAGGCACCTCAGTCCACGCTGAAGCACCTCTACACCCACCCCACCACTTACAGCTCCCACTGATTAACATACCCTAAATAAACTGCACCCCATCATCTCTGTGCCTAGATAAGGTCCTGTAGCTGCAGTTATTCTGTATTTAAAACCTGCAGCTCTATTTTATATACTTTGTTGGGAGGGTGAGGGAGAATGATACTGTATGAAAATCCCAGCTCTATGATTGTTGTAGATCGTTAGGTAAGTATTCCATCATCTTACAGGAGACAGCTAATGACTCAGCAGGGATGGGAAGAAAAATCATCCTGCTGTGGACATGTAGACAAAAGGCTTTGGATGGGCAGCACATGCCGCATCCTGGGCTGACAAACCATTTCAACACAGGGCCATCAGCTGAACAATGCAGGTGCTGAGGTATAGGCACAGGCTGAGAATCTCACACTGCACATAGGAAGAAAAGGAACACAGGAACTGTTGTAGAAGTTTCTGCTAAGGTTCCAGTTAGATGTAAGGAATCAGGAGAGTGTTCTGAACAAATAGATGTAGATGGGAACACCTGAGAGGTGCCTGCACGCTCAGTAATGTGCACTCTGCATGTATCCCAGCTGGCATTCAGCACCATCCAGACACAGGTCTGAGCCCCAGGCCCAGGAGGAAAAGGACAGCTCAGTGCCAGTGGAGATGTCCAATGCCTTCAGCTAGGCTTCATTTCAGCAAGTGACTCAGCTGGTCCCTCAGGTTTGATGACTGCTCCACACTGAGGACAAAATAAGAAGAGGTTCACAGTGAGATCTGTACTTAAGCACCCAGAACAGCTCTGGCACTGACATTACAGAAAAAAAAAAACCCTGGATCTCCCCAGCCCAACTCCATATCCTCTCAAAGCAAACCTCACTCTTTGTGCTGCTGTGTATGTTAATGAAACAAATGGAAGCTTTAGCATAAGTCATCTCTTCACCCAAATTCTCAGCCCTCCACAGTACTGATCCTCACAGCAGTGAAAAGTTATCCTGCTGGGCCAGCATCTGTTTCAAAAGCAGCTGCAAAAGTTTCCAGTTGCGTTCTCCCCTCCCCTACTCTATCAATCACTCATCCTCTTCCCATGGGCCTTGACATGCTGCTTCCCATGTCTGACTGGCATTCCTCAGCTGGGTACTCACTTCTTCTGAATTGCTTCCTGCCTAGAGAAGAAAAGGATAGGAAAGAGCATTAGGAAAAAAACGAAAATCTCAGAAACAGCATTTGTGTGACACTGATGAAAAAGGACTTGATTGAGAGCTCAGGAAGCCAAAACCATCAAATGTGTCTGGATTACGCCCAGAGCAGAAAGCAGTGGCTCTTTTCTCCCTCTCAGCATCACACACAGGTACAGGAGACCAAGTGCATGGCGCACAGCACGCAAAAAAATCACAGTTCACTCCAAAACAGCCTCATCCATATCAGTGGATGTGGCGGGGCTGGAGAATACTGAAGCACCGGCACAGGTAGCCCAGAGAGGTGGTGGTTGCTCATCCCAGGAGACACCCAAGGTCAGGCTGGAGGGGCTCTGAGCACCTGATGGAGCTGGAGGTGTCCCTGTTCAGTGGAGTGGGACCAGATGGCCTTTAGGGGTCCCTTCCCACTAGAACGGTTCTACAGTTCTACAATCGCAGTCCCAGGGTGTGCCCAGCTATGGAAAATGTGGCAAACAGGCCTGCATGGAGTGGGCTCCATAAAAACTTTACAGAATCATAGAATCACAAATTACAAAGAAGAAAAAGCAACAAAAGGCTCAGCTCAGATTCCCAGAGAGTGCACGGTGTCCGTACTTACTGGTACTGCAGGTGCGTGGTTATTATGGCCATTTTCCTTAAACTCTGTGGAGAACAAGACCAAGAATGAAAGCCTCCAACAACAGCCACCCGGCAGAACCGCGGCTGCCCCAGCAGACAAACACAGCTTACGTCTTCGGAGTGCAGGATGGCGTCCTCTTGCATCACCATGTTCCTGGCGGCCTGGCCCAGCAGCTGGCAGAGGAACGCACGGAGCGCTGAGGGGCAGCGCCAAGCAGGGGGGAGCGGCCCAGCCCTCCTCGGCCCAGCCCTGCCCCGCCCTGCCCCTCCGCCCCGTCCTGTCGCGCCCCGCAGCGTGCCCCGCCGCTCACCTCGGCGCTGCGGGAGCCCTTCAGCACCTGCTTGGTGAGGGCGATCACGTCGGTGCCGCAGCTCGTCACCTTCTCGGTCAGCAGCCCCTTCACCGAATGCCCGAAGCGCGCCTGAGCCTCCGCCGCGCCCCCCGCCGCCATCTTGCCGCGCCCCGCCCCGCCGCAAGGCCGAGCTACGGCGAGCGCCGCGGGCCTGAAGGGGCGGGAACGCGCTGCGGCTCCGCAATGCTGCTGCTCTGTGCTGCCCGCTGCTGTCCTGCAGTGCCGCCCAGTGCCGCCCATTGCTGACCAGTAATGCCCGAGCCGTCCAGAGCTGCCCGGCCATTCCAATTTTGCCCAGTACTACCCGGTCTTGACCGCTTTTACCCGATGATCAGTGCTGCCCAGTGCTGCCCAGTGCCAAGAGGGGCTGCCCGGTACCGCTCACAGCCGCCCAGTGCAGCCCAGTGCAGCCCAGTGCAGCCCATGCACCCGGAAGGTCTCCCAGAGTGGCAGCAGCCCCCAGCTCTCTCCTGCCCAGCGCCGCGCCGGCTGCAGCCGGAGCACCCCCAGCACTCCGCTAGCACTCCTTGCCCCGCTGCCCTCACCCCAGCTGCAGTGCTGGCCCGCTGCCCGTCACCCCCCCGCCATCCCCCCGATAAGCTGCCCAGCCCGTCCCAGGGTCAAGGGGATGCCTCCGAGTGGGTATAAAGGCCCTGGAGCCACACAGTCCCACAGCTGTCCCACCATGCCGCCTCTTGCTGTCCTGCTGCTTGCCCTGGCCCTGCTCTGCGCCTGGAGGCTGTCCTGCAGTCAGTGTCCCACGGGGACGGGGACGGGGCGGCTGCGGAGCCTTCCGGCCCTGCCGCTGGTGGGGAGCTTGCTGCAGCTGGCCGGGCACCCGCAGCTCCACCTGCGGCTCTGGCGCCTGCAGGGCCGCTACGGCAGCCTCTACGGGCTCTGGATGGGCTCCCACTACGTGGTGGTGGTCAACAGCTACAGGCACGCCCGGGAGGTGCTGCTGAAGAAGGGGAAGGCTTTCGCCGGACGGCCTCGCACCGTGAGTCGTGGGGTCATGGAGACAGCGCTGGCGGACCCGCTGGTGTGGGGTGAGGATGCTGCACGGGATGACCCCGTGGCTGCGTGTCCCACAGGTGACCACGGACCTACTGTCCCGTGGGGGCAAGGACATCGCCTTTGCCAGCTACGGTCCCCTCTGGAAGTTCCAGCGCAAGCTGGTGCATGCTGCCCTCTCCATGTTTGGGGAGGGCTCAGTCGCCCTCGAGAAGATCAGTAAGTGTTGGGTTTTCACCGTGCTTGGGTTTCCTGGGATGCCAGGGGCAAAGAATTGGGGATTGGTGAAGCAGCTGGGAGCTCACTTTCCCCCTCCCTCCCCACTTGGCCACCCCCAGAGCTCACTGCCCCTATTCTTTCACCTAAAGTCTGCCGGGAGGCTGCGTCCCTGTGTGAGACCCTCGGTGCTGCACAGGATGTGGCCCTGGACATGGCCCCAGAGCTCACACGGGCTGTCACCAACGTGGTCTGCTCCCTCTGCTTCAATTCCTCCTACCGGCGTGGGGACCCCGAATTCGAGGCCATGCTGGAGTACAGCCAGGGCATTGTGGACACCGTGGCCAAGGAGAGCCTGGTGGACATCTTCCCCTGGCTGCAGGTGAGTGGGAGCACAGCAACCACGGGGGCCTCTTCCTTTTGGAACAGAGGAAGAGGCTGGAATGCGTTCCACAGGAACCTTTTGCTGCAACGGGGCTTTTCTCCCCCAGATCTTCCCCAACAGGGACTTGGCCCTGCTGAAGCGATGCCTCAAGGTCAGGGACCAGCTGCTCCAGCAGAAATTCACTGAACACAAGGTGCTGTAGGGGCAGGGGATGCCTGGGGCTTCAACTGCTGGAGCTGAGCTGTAGGACTGGTACACGGGACAGCCCAACTGACATGTGTTCCCTGGCAGGAAGCATTCTGTGGGGACACTGTGAGGGACCTGATGGATGCCCTCCTGCAAGTGAGGCTCAATGCTGAGAACAACAGCCCTCCTGAGCCAGGTCTGGAGCTGACAGACGACCACCTCCTCATGACGGTGGGGGACATCTTTGGGGCTGGCGTGGAGACCACCACCACTGTGCTCAAATGGGCTGTGCTCTACCTGCTCCACTACCCTGAGGTACGGTCTGTAGGGTCCCTCCTGCACCAGGGCCATTGCAGAAGGCTTTGGGAAAGAGCGATGCTGGGGGAGATGTCAGTCAGGCTTTAGAGATAAGCGGTATTGGGATGTGAGAGCTTTGTTTCTGCCTTTATCTGCCAGAGTGTGCTGGAGGTGTCCCTTGCACAGAGCATACCCCTCCCAGGCTCCCTCCTGTTGCAGGTCCAGAAGAAGATCCAGGAGGAGATGGACCAGAAGATTGGCCTGGCACGTCACCCCCACCTTAGTGACCGCCCACTGCTGCCCTACCTGGAGGCTACCATCAGTGAGGTGCTGCGCATCCGGCCCGTGTCCCCCCTGCTCATCCCACACGTGTCCCTTGCCGACACCAGGTGAGATCAACTGGGGCGTGGGCAGAGGCTGGGGAGGGAGCGTCCATCTCACGCTGTGTTTGCTCTACAGCATCGGTGAGTATTCCATCCCCAAGGGCGCCAGAGTGGTCATCAACCTCTGGTCTGTGCACCACGATGAGAAGGAGTGGGATAAACCTGAAGAGTTCAACCCTGGTGAGTTGTGAGCTCCTAGCCCAGTGCCCAGGCGGGAGGGACGATGAATTGGGGCAGGTCTCAGTCAGAAGGGACAGATCCCCATCCCCAGCGGTGCCCCTTTCCCTTGCAGGCCGCTTTCTGGATGAGCAGGGCCAGCACATCCACTCACCCTCTCCCAGCTACCTGCCCTTTGGGGCCGGCATCCGCGTGTGCTTGGGTGAAGTCCTGGCCAAGATGGAGCTCTTCCTCTTCCTGGCCTGGGTGCTGCAGAGGTTCACGCTCGAGTGTCCGCAGGATCAGCCCCTGCCCTCACTGGAGGGCAAGTTCGGTGTCGTGCTGCAGGTGCAGAAGTTTCGGGTGAAAGCCAGGCTGCGGGAGGTCTGGAGGGGTGAGATGGTGGGGTGAGATGGGGTAGTTGGATAGCAGAATGGAGTGGGTGGATGCCATAGAGACTGTGCTCTGACTGTCTCGTGGATGTGAGATTGTCTGAATAAAGCTGTCCCCCACCCAGCACGGCTCAGGCTGCTTTTTGGACAGGCGACAGAGGGCAGAGCAGGTTCAGATGACCCCAAGACCTCATGTGAGCGCTGGGCTGAGCTGAGGGCATGGCCCCTCTGCAGGGCTGCAGACATTGCCTTATGGACATGGCGTGGGGGGGCCTCCAGGGGCCACGGTGATGTGTCTGGAAACCTGCTGAGTGCAGAGGAAAGAAGGAAAGAGCTCAAACACTGCTGCATTTTTAGCTCCTGAGTGGCTCCTGCTGTGCACAGGCACACACTGCATGCACCTGCGTGGCTGTGTGCTTGCAAGTGTGTGCAGGCACAGAAATGCATTCCTGCATGCCCACACACACGTGCATGCATATACACATTTGTACACACATGTGTATGCTGAACCCATGCCAGTAGGAGCCAGTTGCCATACCCTGCCAGCAAGGGCAGTGTGCAATTAGGTTTCTGGTTCTTTATTACCTGACCTCTTAATATTTAACCCTGTAGCTCTGTGCACCTCCACCTTCCCTCCCTCCCTGTGCTTCCTCTGCACTTTAACTCTTGGCGGTGGGCAGGAAAGCCAGCACACAGCCAGTCTCTCCTTGCTGCTAACTCTTCTATCCATGCTTGGTTTACATTTTCTCTCTCAATTTGGACAGCAGCAGCCAGGCTTCCCCATCTAAGCACTTGCCTCAGGAAATGAGGGGCCCTGGGACCCCAAATGAACAGACCTCAGGGCCTGGGCTGAGCCCTCCGGCTTTATTCCAATTGTACACCAGCAACCCAAGCCTGGGGACTGGCGGTGGCCATGCTGTGGGCAGTGGGGGGACCTTGGCAGCAGCCACCAGGTTTTGGCTGGTCTATCGCAAGCAGCTGCCATGTTTGCAGCTGAAATGACCCTGCTGATGTAACTGCCCAGGTGGTATTGCGTCTCCTGTCCAGGGTTACCTGGGACATTTAAATAGGGGAGAAACAAGATATGAGCATGCACCTCTACTGAGGTGCTCGGGCACAGGGCTGCCAGGAAATAGCATCTCCTGTCCCCCTGCAGCCTGTGAGGCAGGAACTGATGAGGACAGAAAGGCCAGAGCTTTTCATGGAAGCTCTCCTCCAGGAGCAGGAGGGCAGCCGTCCTGCTGCTCACCCACAGCCCAACCCCAAAAATCCCCACCACAGAGCATGGAGTGGTCTTACTCATCCCCATTTAATAAAGCAGATCTAGGCTCTGAGGAAGAAAGCAGAACGGTCCCATCCTTCCCAGCCCCAGGGAGCAGGGCTCAGCAGGATAGCCTGGCCAGAAGGAGGAAGAGATGACCCTGCACAGCTTCCAGGCTGCAGGCAGGAAGCAGTGTGGGCCGGGCGCTGGCTCTGACGCACATCCTCGTGTGCCAGGGTGGAGGCACAGCTGGTGGTGTGAGAGCACATCGCTCTTCAGCTGGTGGCTTGGCATGCTTTCACACCCTAGGATGATTTCCACAGCCACAGAAAGGCAGGAGCGTTCCCTGAGTTCCTGACACCCCCATACAAATGCTGTCCATCAGTTGTTTCACTGGAAAGGCTCAGAGGGAAATGAGCACCAGAACTGCTGCCGAGAGCAGTGGGTGCCCCATCTGTGGAGGTGTCCAAGGCTGGGTTGGATGGGCCATGGGCCCTGACTGGATGGGGGGCACCCAGCCCACAGCAGGAGGTGAACTGGCTGGGTTTAAGGTCACTTCCAACCCAACCACTGCGTGATTCTATGACTCACAAAATGATACACATACACAGAGGCAAGTTATGAGAAAAGGCATTATATTTTGGTTTCCACCTTATTTGAAACTGATTTTGGTTTTCAATCAATCAAATCTGAATACGACTGAGTTCAGTTTTCAATTTCTTCCCCCATAATAGTAATGATCTGGATGACCATAGTTATAAAAGGGATGGGGACATAACCCAAGAACAAGATACACAGTCTGAATTGTGCTCTCTTCCACACGAGCACACCAGGGAATGTTAGTTTTCAGCTCGTTTTGTTTTTCCCTTCAGGTTGTTACTAACAAAATCTCTACCGTTTATTAAAGCAAAGCTACAGTAAATTTTCTTGCAGTCTTACAGCAGGTTTTCATATTACCAGTAGGACTCGCATGCATGGATTGCAGTCACACACACACGCTCACAGACATTATACAGTAGCCAGTTGCCACTATTTAAAAAAAAAAAAAGAAAAAAGAAAACAGACATTCATTTTCTTTAAGTGGTCAACATCAGAATCGCACCAAACTTTTGGATTGAAAAAACAAAAATACTGCACAGGTGTTCCACATCTACATGGTAAGTCATCCCTTCGCAATGGACGGAGCTCTCGTCTCCATTTGTTCAACATGCATCGCTGAAGCTTGAAGGCACACTGGCCAAAGAGAGCCCTGTTCTTCTTTTTTGTCATCTTAACTCGAGTGTGCTGCTCTCAGGGTGCAAAAATAAGGAAAAAAAATAAAGCCAAGCCCTTTTGCAGCACACCGGGAAAAGGTCATTCGGAGACCACAGTACTTGGAAGGCAGCCCAGCTGCCTTGATTCTACTTCTAGCTGTGCTCTTGGAGGCATTGAAGGAATACACTTGTCTTTGAAAATTACATGTAAAGGCAAATTTCTGAAAAACATCTCCTTTCAGACTGCTTGTGGTAGACTAACACTCCTGGAAGAAACTGGTCTTTCCACCACCAGCTTCAAGTGGGAAATTTCCTACCTGCTGTCTTAAACACTGAAGCACCAGAGATTATAGGGCTGATGTGTTGAGGCATTCATCAGCTTTGGGAAAGTTTAACATCAAAAGAAAGAAAAAAAAAAAACTAAAAAGTGAAAAAAAAAACCCCACAATGCCTCAAGAGCACTATATCAAACCAGAACTCTTGGGCTACTGACTGCCGGCACTGTCAGAAGCTGCTTGCTTCTGGGAAGACACCTGGAGGTTGAAGCGTTGTGGTGATTTCGTATCCTCCCAGGGTGAGATTTGCTGAGCTTTACTGATTGCGAGATAAAGCAGTGTTCTGGAAAACTAATACCAACAAACTCATAATAACCATCACCAAAATCACCATTGGAAAAGTTCCATTTGTGAGAAGGTCTCATTGACAAACAGTCCCTGCCCCACGGAGCAGAACGGACATGATTAACGAAATCCAGAGCAGCCCGTCCCCACAAGCTGGGCCTTCGGGACGAGTCCCCGAATTACACTGGAGGAGGAAAAAGGAAAAAAAAAAAAAGAACAAAAAAGGTTATATCACCTTTTTCTCCTTTCAAAGTTTCTATCTGCTTATTTCACTTATTTCTTCGTTTTCCCCCCAGTTCTCCTTCCCGCTCTGCCTCCTTAGCTGGGGGAGCTGTTGGTGCGGGAGTTTGGAGAGTCCTGCTCGTTTATTGTGTTCAAGAGTACACACACCGGCTGCCGGGGCATGTGGTGGTGGCTGTGTTCGCGGTGCTGCTCCTCCGTGGCATTAAAAAGCCCTTCCTCCTCATCGCCGTGCGGGCGGCCGCTGCAGCTGTCACAGAAGTCCAGGGGCCCGTCCAGAGCATCATTGATGAGCCCGTCGAACTCCTTGAGGTCATCGTCGTGATGGCCCCGGTTGCATACGCAGACTTCGATGCCCGAGTCGCCCGTGAAGCGGCGCTGCCTGCCCGGCGTCTTGTCCTTGGCGTCGGGAATGGCGCTGCTCTGCTCTAAGCTCTCCGAGCTGTAACCTTTCAGCAGTTCCTCCTTGCACTCCGTATCCTTTTCGGGACTGGCCCTCTCCACCAGCTCGGCTCCCGTGCTGGTGCCGCCGGGCTCCACACTTTGCATTTTGGCTACTGCTCGCTCGACCAGCGTGGCGGTGGAAGGCTCAGGGTCTCCGAGGCCAGGGGACCCGGTGCTGTCAGTACTGCTGTTATTGCCGCTGGGCACTGCCGAGCTGCTCTGTGCTGGCTGCAGGTTTCTCGGCGTGTCTGGGATTGTGCTACTGCTGCCTGCTGGGACACACTGCTGATGTAAGGCACTGTATGGCGGCGGGGGGGTCGGCGGTCTGTTCACCACTTCCTCGTAGGGAGGTAGTAAATAATTTGGCAGAAACCCTGAAAGTGGGAGGCAAGGAAAAGTTATTTTTTGAGCAGCCCTTCTTAGGAAACTTGGCATTAATGTAGATCAGTGTGCCACACCAGCACCCTCCCACCGAACAGCTCAATGGGCTTTACATGCAATGCTAAGCTCAAATCAGTGAGATGCTTTGTGTTTTAGAGGAACGGCAGTCACAGCACAGGAGATACATGAAGAGATGGACGCAGCTGGGAACAGCAGCGAAGTTTCTTGGCTCCTAGTTCCACGCCTAAATGTACCAGGTCACTACCTCCCTGTAAGGTGTAATGGCCTCAAGTTGTGCCAGGGGAGATTCAAGCTGGAAATCAGGAAAAAATTATTCTCAGAAAGAGCAGTGAGGCAGTGGCACAAGCTGCCCAGGGAGGCGGTAGAGTTACCATCCCTGGAGATGTTCAAGAACCATGGAGATGTGGCAATGGGGGATGTGGTCTGGTTGGCACGGTAGGGATGGGCTGATGCTTGGACTGCATGATCTTAGAGGTCTTTTTAACCTTAATGATTCCATGATTCTACGATACCCCAACATGGCCCCCTTGAACCTCCTCAAGGGAAAGCAGGTGTTGGCTGGAGGGACAAGCTGGTAGGTAACTCACCTCCAGCCCCCTCCAGCACTGCCTTCTCAACTGAGCTTCCACTTTAAAGAGCAAAACTTAATCTCACAGAACTTTGCATAAATATAGAGACAAGAAACTTAGGATCTGGGCATATAGTTGTTTCAGTGCTGGATTCTGGTGCTTTTTTGGTGCGGCCAGAATAAACTGGCAGTACTGGCAATAGAAGTGAGTTTGTTGTACTTACAGTCCCTCTAAATAACATCTAAGGAAGACGTTATTTATTCTATAACAGGCAACAAAATAATCTACATAGACAGAACGGGCTTAAATAATGGAAACATTTAGAGACAGCACTGCAGTTTTCCATGTGTAATTGTACAGCCTTTGGACTGGGGAGTAAAGGACTGCTGGGGCAAGAGTTCAATGAGTGCAGGCTGAAAAGGAGGAGCATCCTGAAGGAGGTATTTTAAAAATCTTCCCAGGAAGACACCCAGCTAATTACTGCACACATACAGCCTAATCAGTGGTGGATTCGGCAGGTGCTGCTGGTGTTGTTCAACTCCAGACTTAGGAGGGTTCAGAAGCATTCAGAAGCTGAAATATGTCCCCTCTATTCTATGCCCTAAGTTTAGAGCTGCCCCCACCTCTTGCTGGGCCCAGTTACTGCTCCCCATGTCTGCCAGGTAGAGATGTGAGGTACGTACGGAAATAAAACGGCAGGGCTGAATAGTTGTGGGCTTCCCGGTAAGCAATCAAGTTGATCTCATGTTGCCGCTGCTGGGCCTGCAGACGATGCTTGGTGCGGCGGTGGTGGCAAACACAACAGCAGCTGAGGATGATGATGATGGTCCACACCAGCCAAAACCCTGCAAAGGGAGAGCAGCGTTTATCACAATGAAGAGCCACATCCAACCCTAGGAAACCCTACAAACAGAATTGGGATGATTGTCAGAAAGTCTGGGTCTGTGCACTGGGAGGCTTCTGCATGGCTGACTGATATTCTGGGGGAATTTGGGTAATTTTGTACATGCCTTGGTACAGCATGGAGCATGTCTTTCAGTCACAGCTCTAGAGGAGAGCAAAATGTGGAGCTTAGGCACCTTCATCCATCCATCCATCCATCCATCCATCCATCCATCCATCCCTCCCTCCCTCCCTCCCTCCCCTCCCCTCCCACCCACCGGAAATTCTTTCTTTTGGCAAAAAAAAAAAAAAACAACCCACAAACAGATCAGTGACTACCATTGAATTTGAATCCCACAGCCACACTGCTTTCAAAATAATAATCAAGACACAAAAGACATTCTGCAGATTAACCACAGAAGAAGAGAAAAACCCCAAGCACTACATTTTCCTTTTGTTTGCACTGCTCTTTAATTTCTAGCCCAAATCCTTCATTGTTATGTTTAACAAAAACATACTCCTTTTACATAAACGTCTCAAAATATTTTTAAAACTTATTTTTGTATTCAATGTCTTAAATTATCCAAAATTAAATTAATCCAGCCCCTTGCCCTGCCTGAATCCTCAAGAAACCCAACTTCTGCTCTGCCTGTGGCCACGGTTGGTTTCTGTGCATGGTCACAGGACACACAGTGCTCTTTGAAAGGAAATTTAAAATGAGCACTTCCCGAATTCTCCCCAGTCCTGCCAACACACTAAGAAACCCCCCCTTCCTTTAAAGCTGCCTCCCTGCTGCCATATATTAGCAATGAGTTTCAGAGACGTATCAAAAAAAGCTACAGCTTCCTTTTCCCAAACACACAAAGCCAATGCTAAAGCCCACTTTCAACACGGTCACTCCGCCCTTTGATACCAACCTGCCCTAATAATATCCTCTAGCCCAACGTTACAATACCTCCATGTCCTCAGCATCTCCTACTGGATTAGAAATGTTTTCTTTGCTAAGAGCTGGGTGGGGAAAGGTGAACAGTTGAGGAATGTGAAGAACGAGAGGAATACTGCTCTGGCTCAGGACAAAGTGCAATCAACCTGCACTGCTGTTGTCAGAGCCCTGCGCTGGCGGAGGTGAGTTGGTGCTGTGCCTCCAGGCGTTCTGAGCAGGGACTTGCACCTCCCTGTGTCGTAACCCATATCTCCACGTGATTTTGGCACAGCAAACTGAAATCTCTCCCTTGCCTTGCACAACCTGCTTCCCTAATGGACCAGATTCTGTCTCATACTCAGATTTATCAAAACTTGCTATCAAATTAAGGTGTTGCATGCTCCTTTTTAATTTATTTTTTATATGTTCTTTTTCTGCTTGGCTGGAAATCAGGGTTCCCAGGCAGATTTTCTAGCTAGCCTGCTCAGTCCTGTGAAGAAGGGCAGGAAGAAGCCTAACCTCTGCTCCACAGAAGCAAAGGGGGAAAAAAAAAGCACTTGAGATGCCCTCTACACTCACTTCAAACTGAGCCAAGAGATGTCTATTGCCCTCCAAACGGCCCTTGATCCTACAAAAGCTTTCAGGAAGTTTTCCAGGGATTGCTGAAGTCCTCCCTTCCTCCTAAGCCGGTCAGGCAGACAGGATGAGAAGTAATGGTCTTAAGCTATGCCAGGGAAGGTTCAGGTTGGATAGTATAGCAAGAATTTCTTCTCAGGAGGAGAGGTGAGGCATTGGCACAGGCTGCCCAGGGAGGTGGTGGAGTCACTGTCCCTAGAGGCGTTCAAGACATGTGGCAGTGTGTGACACGATCTAGAGCTGTCACAGGCATGGCCTGATGGTTGGACTGGATGACATCGTTGGTCTTTCCAGCCTTGATGATCTATGATTCCATGCTGTGCTTTGCAGTTGCTGTCTCGTAGTTTGAAGACTCCCACCAATATATTTTACCTCTTGCTAAGGGAAGGCTCCTCAGCTCTCGCTGGCCAAGGAAGCAAGAACAACTCATGGAAACCAGGTCACTCGCACAGCACGTCACCATGTGCCAAAGCAGGCCTGCAGTTCATCTTTCAGTACTCCTTGTATTCAAAGAGCAATCCGTGATCATCCGTTCAAAAACAATGGAAAATTACACCCAGCTATCCAGGGATTTCAGCTAGTTATGAAAATAGCTGATTTTTAACACATTTATTCATGTCCTTTCCCAAGCATTCTAGATGCAATAGCAGCAAGCAGCACTTAGTTAAGATGTTCTGGAGAACTGCCACTGTTAAGCAATCTCAGCTGTAGCAGCTGAATTTTTCTGCAGGGAATAACTGCTCCCACCCAAGCCTGCATGCAGTGGATTTAAAAAGTATTTCTTTAGAAATCTTCTCTACTCATTCCAAATCCCAAAATGCTTTGCACAAACTGGTGCACAAGCTCAGAATAGGGGTCAAAGTCAGCTCAGCCATTCTCAAGAAGATGTTCAGCAGCTCTGTAAACAGCATACAGCATTTCAGGCTAATAAATTAATGCTGGATCCTACTGAAACCGCAGGTGGCGTTTGTAAGTAAACAGATCGTAATTTACTGAGCTGCAATCTGGTCACAGTGCCAGGAACAACACCTCCATCCTTGTGCCAAGGGTCCCAATGTGCGCTCACAACCACAAATGCACAAAAAGTGGTGTTTTTCATGGGAATTTCCAGAAAAAGAACCCACTAATACCACGTTATTGCTTGGTTTCATTAACCACCAACACTTCCTGGAGCTTCTAGGAATTACTCAACTCCTGACTCAGCACACACCCAAGGACTTGCCTGGGTGATGGCAACGGGTCAGCGTTGTGTGCCCCCAGATCTATTTGCTCCACCTGGCTACTGGTTTCCTCTTTATGGGCTTTCCCTCACTTTGTCAGGCAGCGGCACATCTGTGTCATAGGACTATAAGCCTTCCCAGCATGGAGGAAGCAACAGGATGGGACACTGTAGGTGCTGAGCTGCTCACCTGTTGCTTGAGCAGAGGAGCCAGAGCCAGGAGATGGAGCAGGTCTGGTTGCATGCCCAGAGCGGTGCTGGGAGTCCATAAAAGGCTCCATAACATGCCCTAGCCAGAAGTTCGGGCACAGCTGCAATGCTGGCTGCAGAACAGAAAAACTGTAAAAGCCTAGCAAATATATAGTACAGTCATTTATTTGAAATAAAGCGATGTGTAACGGCCAAGTGTAAATATTATGTCTAAAAGTATGGAGAGAACAGTGAATATGTCCAGGGCTGAGCTGTGCATGTGTACACCTGGTGACGTTTGGCTTCAAACTAGCAGCAGGGAGCAAACTGAGCAGAGCTCTGGCCCGTGCACACAGCAGCTCATCTGGCAAGAGGGGAAGAAGGGAAATTTTAATTTCATCCAAAGACAACACTATGGGAACAGGAAACGTGGAGGCTGAGCACAGTAACAGTGCAAGCTAATACCTGGTTTGTGGCAAAGCAGGCACTGGCTCTGCCTTGTGCTGAAAATGGGTGATGTACAAAGGCAACAGAAGTCTGGCAAGAAAGGGCTTCTAAAAGCCCAATAAAAATGGGCTTCTTGTGGTCTTCACTGTCCTCAAAAGCTTTGCCAGTGCTCTTCCACATGTACCTCCCGCCCATATGGACATGAGCTGGTGTTCAGCTATACTGCACTGAGCTAGTGTGGCAAACACTGAACTGCAAAAGGAGAAACTGTTGGGAGGCACCAGGTTTGCCAGAAAATTGTCTGATGTGAGAGAAAAGCTCTAGTGGGCATTTCCCACTAGGTCAGGATCATGGGGAGCAGAACTCGCTGCAGTCTGATGGGCAGATGACAAATAGAGAGAAAAAAATATCACTGGTGGATAACAGCAATGCATCAGTTTGGAGCTAAACATGCAGCAGCAGACTGTTGGATTTCAAGGCAATTTTAGGCTTGCTCTTGGTTTATGGAGGAGTTAGAAGTGGAAACGCTATGATCCCAAAAAGGCTGAGTACTGAGAAGTGCTGCTGTATCTTCTGTCAAATTCACTGGTGATGCCAGTGGGTTGATAATGATGCAAGCAAAGAGTGAATCAGACACAGCCAAGGAGCTGAGTTTTGCCAAGACATTTCCCTGCCAGAGCATCAAAAGCTTTCATAGAAATACAACAGAAATACCAGTGTCTTACTCAGCATCAGACAGACTCAGAGAAAAGCTGCAAGCTCCCCATGAACACCAAGCTCAGGGAATCAAAACAGGAACTGCAGAAAGACCTGAGAACAGAATTACTTCCTAGGAAAGCCACTGCTCACAAGCAGAGAAAACACTCAGGAAGGAGAAGACTGTGATGCTTACAGCTCTTGGGAAAGGTGCCCCATCCAATGGAGTGTCTCCATCCACTGGAGACGCTTTCTACCAGCCATGAAAGAATATATCAAGCCTAGAGCTGTGAGAAAACTTTTTTGGGCACTAACCAGACCATAGTTTTGCCCAAACTTAAGAATAATAAACTATCTATCTCCCGAGTATGAAACAGAGCATTCCCTCCCTACAAAAAAAGTGAAGAGCAGTGTCCATTCTGATGCTGAGAAGGTCAAGTACTGTGCTTGCTGCCTGGGATGCTGCCATCAGCAGCCCCATCAAGGGAAGCTCCTTTTATCCTGTGCAAAATGGAAAACATGTTTTCTGGAGCGTTCCAAAGGTAGGAACAGAGAAATCTGCCCTCAAGTTCATGGTAAACTTGGGCAAATGCCATTGTTCTATTGGCAGGAAGTCCCCTAAAGAAAGCCAAAATATACTGCAAAGTGTTTTTGTGTCTGCCTGACAAGCATCTGGGTAATAGCTTTGGCTTCACAAGAGCTGGTTCTAAACTGAAGTGGGACAATTTCATTGACGAAAATGTGATCTCCCAACTAGTGGCCTCACAGCTGGCCATGGCTGGGAGGAAACTGTCTTTCCTAGGGCCAATGCTACTATCAAGAACAGGAGACATTTAACCAGTACCACAGTTCAGCTGCACATGGGTTTTACAGAGTCCTTGGCACAGAGACCACATTACCTCCTGCTTCTTCAGCCATGAGCCCCTATGAGTTGGTGCTGCTGCTCCAGAATGTGAGATGGGGATCCAGGCCATGGGCCTATGGACACTTTAGGAGAAAGAGGGCTGCCGAGCAATGCGGTCCTTTCCTGCCTGTCTCTTTCGCACACCACGCTGCCTCCTCCAACTCTTCTTGTGCCAGCACAATGCTCTGTGCAACTGTGCTTTTACCTGGCTCTGGGGAACCAGAGCAGGCTGAAGCCCATCTGCTCAATCAACGAGCCGCAAGGGAAAGACTGTCATTTTCAGTGACAGTTCTGTGTTAGTGGAACGGCAGCCCCAGCCTGATAGCACTGCAGAAAAAAGTTACTGAAGTTACATCTCCAGCTCCTGCTCACTCGCCCCCAGATTGATGACTCCAACCAAAGACGATGGATATTAACGACAGCTGGTTTCTAGCTTTCAGGGTAGCAGCCAGTATACACAGTACTTCCACTGCCACGAAAAAAGATGGAAAAAAAGTGAAGCACCTGATAAAGGGAGGGCAAGGAGAGCCATGCAGGAGGCTGGGAGAAAGGTGGGGAACAGGGCAAACCCCTCCAGAAAAGGATGTGGTTGGACTGAAGGATAACACGGGGTTAGAAAGAAATCATGGGATTGATGTTATTTGAATGAGTGCTTTGGAGACTGCAGCAAAGTCTTTGGGAACAAATTCCTGTTATGAAGCTGACCTGGAACATGTACGTGTTACAGCAGTTGCTGTAGTTTCAGCAACTAAGCAGATCCCTGCCAACATTTTCTGGCAGCACACTTTTTGGGGAAAAGAGCTGTCTAGAGATTCCAAGGGGAAGCGTGCAGAGATGAGCAAAACACTCAAAATCAGCAAAAACATCAACTGTGCTGCCTGCAAACAGAACATTTTTTTCCCCATACAACCCTTCCATTAAGGCCTAAACAGTAAAGATGATTTTTTTTTCCCTTCACTGGAAACAGAAGGGCTTAGTGTCACTGCTAACACAGCCAAAACAAAGCAGAATAAGGCACACGTGAATCCTCACTCAGCACTGCAGCTTGCTGTGAGGTACCTCAATGACGAAGGGGCTGCAGCTGCCTGTCTCCACAGACTCCATGATTCCCCAAGCACCACAGACTGCTCTTCCAACTGCACCACGTAAAATACTTTTCCACAGTTTTGTTTGCTGTGTTTGATGCCTCAGGAGCCGTCTGATTTTGCGCTGCTCCTCAACAGGGTAAGGGAGACACGAGGATGGGTGTCAGATCTGGATTAGGTTCTCAAACCACATTATAGGCGTAAACTTCAAAAATCTGGAACATTTGAGCCTTAATTCTTAACCTGCAAAACACAGTAACTGCAGTCCTCAATTACCTCCTTTCTTCTAGCATGAAAAGTGCCATTTTGGAACATTTTGCATCAAAACACCCATTAGGCCTGGACAAAGGCCAGCAACAGAAAACTCTGGTAAATCACAAGCACATCATAAGGGACATGAACAAAAACTATTTGTAAGCAAAATCCAGTGGCCACAACCTCCTCCTTGGGTACTGTGACCTCTCTGGGGAGCCTGAAGAAATTGTTAGGCTAAAATGTGCAACCACCAGCCACAAGGACAGTTTCCCCTAGGTGGGGATTTGCAACTGTAAAGCCTCTTCTCTTTGTTTTGCTTTTTAAAACCCTGCAGCACCCTCCCCAGACCATGTTACTCTCTGCCAAACTTCAGCTAGGAACTAATTGGACCTATATGCATTAGTCCTTCATACATAAACCTGGATATAATCTTATTATTTGGCAACACAGAGCCATATTTTTTTTTTTTTTAATAAGAGATGGGTGGGGAATCTGAACTGAGCTGTTATCTAATTTTAAACACAGGCTGTCCACCTGCTTGGCATATCATGTTCTCCATTCCACCGCTCCACCCCTTAACAAAATAATACCTTGATTTTGCATCCTATTCCACAGCCCTCAAGGACTGGTTTATAATTACCATAACCTTACTTGCTGTCTAGAAATGTTGAGATCAGCCATTTTCAAAGACAAACTTCCCTCAAATTCTTAAACAGGGAAAAAATGATCCTTTTTATAGGAAATCCTCCAAGCGGCCGCAAGACGGGATCACATTTCAAAAGGCAGAGCCAACAAAGCCAGACGAGTTTTCTTTTCCATTTCAAATGCCACCCTCCTCTGTTTCTCCCCACTAAACAGTAAAATACCCAGGACTTCACAGGATGAGCAAGAAGGCCTTTTCCAGGCACTGGTGGTCAGGGGAGTTTCTGAGAAAGGAGAAACTTCTGAAAATAGTTACTTCAGTACATGCACACACTGGCTAAAATCAAATTACAACACAAGTGTGAAACTGTACCTAAAAGGTGCTGCTCACTTAACTGTTCATTAACCAAAATGTACTATTAACTTTAACAAAGCCAATCTATTTTCTCGCTGTTGCTCGCTACACCATCACTTCACAGCTGTTATTTGCATATATTCTCATTGCTGTTTCATCACAAAGGTCTTAAGGATGCCCCACTACACGTATAAACTGAAGATGTTCCACAATTTCTGGAGCAAGAGAATGTTTCTGAAGCTGTGGTGGCACCCTCTATAACACGAGTTTTCGTTTAAAAGGACGTGCTCCTCCGTGCACGTCCACCCCCATCCCAGAGACCTTTTCCTGACAAACATACGGGCAAAGCAAGCCCTGAAAACATTAACCAGCTGCAAATCGATGCTGGGCACTTGCCTGGATTTGCAGAAAGCCTGAGAGAATAGGTCTCCTGTTTGCATTACTGCCCTTGTCTCAGAGCCATGCACGATGCTCTCCACAATGCAGAAGGAACGTGAAACTCGACACAGAAACCCATTTCCCCCAAGGAACCATTCATCAGTGTGTGCCATTAACGTGCTCATTCCATGATCTCAAAGCAGCTTGTGTGCTTGCCCTAGAAAGAGGCCTGAAATATTCTGCTTCTTCCTAGCAAAAGCTGTTTTTATCTTCCAAAACCATTTATGACGCCGTCAGACACTGTCAAATCTAAAAGCCTGTGCCATGTTGAGAAAACAAAGACAGTTAAAGTAACATCCCTTCATTAAAATGGCAGGGAGCTGTTGTTTTGACTCTACTGTTTGCATGCAGTTCCATTAAGCCTTTCTTTCAAGGCGTACAGGGGAGAAACATGGCAACTCTGCGACAAGCATCAGCGTGCAGCTGTACTCCATGCTGTTGCTCAATTTAGATCCTGTTTGCCACAGAGCATCTAAGCCCTTGGATACGTGCCTCTTCCTCTACATTCCCACCCACACAAGTCCAAAGCAGGGTCTGACCTTCCCAACTCTGCTGTGTCCATGCATCCCCATTTGGTCCAGACAAATCCCAGCCGGCTGTCCCCAGGGTTACCCACCCCATCCCAAAACATTCCCGCAACTGCTTGGAGACTTCTGAACATAAAGCTGCTGTCAAAAGTCCAGAGAGCATTCAGCTGCTGCCATTTGTATTTACACAGCCAGGCACAACACCCTGATACCCAACATGTCTTCAACAAGTCCATTACAGTCCTGCTTAATTTACAGCCACTTCAGTAAAAGCATGTCTCTAGACTAAAGGATGAAGCATCAGCTATTCCCGTCCTTAAAGTCAGGCTAAGTGACACTCTTTGTACGTATAATACATTTCCACAAACACAAACTACTTTGAAAGTGAAACTGTTGGCACTGCAGAGGAGTTATGTACGTAGTACAGTTACATAAAAACCACAAGATATCAGGGGATATAGTAAGAAGATAACACCAATCTCTAACATGGGGGTACAATATTCAGAGTTCCTTATTTCCAAATTTCTGGAGGACAAATGCCTTCTGACAGCCCCAGTTCCTAACAGTACTGCAGCAAGTCAAGGTCAGCATTCAACTCTCCATGGTTCCTCCTTGGGAAAGGTAGACACTGTCAGCCCAGGCACAACTCAAAGGCTGCCTCGAAACTTCAGCATTTTTTTACTTTCCTATCCCTTCAGCTTCTTTATCAGCCTTGCTGGCCTGCTTTGACCTGCCTGCTGCTCTTTACACACTTAGCATGAAGTTCACATAACCATTAGTAAGAAATGGGTATGTTTAAAGCCCAGGGTTTGCAGAAATGCCCACGAAATAAGAGACCCTGCAATGGGCAATGCGTGCTCCTCACAGCAGACCACATTCAGCTACTGCCAGATCACAAAATTTGCCCCAGGCCCATCCTGCCCACAGAGCTGTGCTCCCAACACTGTGTTTCCTTGGAGAATAGAGGTCCTGGCCCCTCTCCTTGAGAGGACAACTTTAACGAGATAAATCAGATATAAACTGTCATTCTTGAAAAAATACTGAAACAGTAAGAAGAAAGATACTGAATTAATTCTGAGCGTGTCAAACTTAAGAGTTGTGCGTATGAACATCTTCCCTTAAGAGTAGTTTCCCCAGTCACATACAATGCTATTGTCCAGACCAGTATTGCCCAAACCAGTAAGACCACCAAACAACAAATTTCCAGTCATGAGCATGCGAAGACAGCCTCATTGCTCCCAAAAAGAAGGCAATGCTCATTGCAATAGCCCTGTTTCTCTTGTTTTACTGAGTCAACTCTAGTTTGCATTGCAGCTAAATGCAATGGCAATGCAAAACAGGAGCTGAATACAATATTCCCAAGACACAAGCCAGACCTGCAGTATGACAGCCATGCAGATTAGGAAGGGAAGCCATACAAAACAGAAGGACTTACACCAGAGTTCATAGTAGTAGTTGCAACACTGGGACTGTCCACAACAGTGGCCCGTTTCACATATGTAACTTTGATTGTTGACACCCATGCAGGTTTCCTTGTCCTAAAATTAAACAGACACACTTTTAAGATGTTTTGTCAGTATCTTCTGAAATGTAATTTATTTTACCCAGCAACCAGCAAGCATTTTAAGAGTCACAAGTTACGGTCTTGGGAAATTTTAAAATACACAAAGATTAAAACATTTCAAGGGACCATCAAAGAATACGTCCCACAAATGACAGTTTTGAAGAAAACCCACGATCTCTCTTAAATAACTCCTGAGTTACATTGCTTTAGCATCTAGACAATGCTGTTTTCTTATCAATCTTTTCCTTTTAACAGTTACATGCTTTGGGCACAAGGCATTCTTTTGTAGATGAAACATCATTTATTCCCTGTTTTAAACAGTATCACTGCGTTACTGGGGCTGAAAGCTGAGTGGAGGAAACACATCATAAACAGAATGTTATAATCTGAGAAAAGACTGCTTGGATTCATTTAGGTCTAAATGATAATTACGTTATGTTCCTGCAAGATTCCAATCTAAAATGAATCCCTCATAATTAGCCATATGCTTTATGTAAGATCAGCATTCCTGTAAAACTTCTTCCTGGAATAGTGAAGTAGTCCAGGAGCAGAGCCAAATCAGCTGCGCTGTGTCACCCAGCAGGTCCTCAGGACACTTAAGATGGAAAAGGAGTTTGCTGTGAAGTCTCGGCCCCCCCTGGGAGTCCCAATTTTCCTACTGGTCTAAAAACATGGGTGGGAAAAAGTACAAAACACAAGAAAACAGAAGTGTTTTACAGTTGTGGTATTTACATCTCTAACAGGTGTAGGGCAACCTGGAAGTTAGGAAACAAAACATCTCTCTTTGAAAACAAACCTTATTAAAACACATTGATGTTGCAAGCACGTCTGCTTTGCAGGTAACTAAAGCAAACTTTTCATACTCTGTCTTAAAATGTCGTACATCAAAAGTAGAAACTTTCTCATATAGAGTAAGGAGTAGCTTTCCATCTCTAATCACAGTGGCCTACAGCAACTCTTAGTAGGCACTGCTGAGCTAACATAGCATTTTCCATTACAGGCACATTATTCATTCCAAAAATTGTAATTTTAGTCAGGAAAAAAAATAGAACATCTAATCTCTTATCTTTTTATTAGTTTATTTACATTTTTCTTCCCTTCTGCTGGCTTTGCAGAGTTAGCGCAACTGATGAACTGATGAATGATAGATTTTGGCTCTCACATCAGCCAAATTGAGAAATTAAGTTCCTATTGCAAAATTGCAATCCTACTGATAGTGCACGAGCCAGAAAGTCACCACCTGAGGTTTACAGTTGTGACACACAAGGATCGATGCTGAACTAGCAAATGAGTCATGCGAGTCTGGCGGAAGAACAGAGTCCCACGGTGCCATTTCAGGATCCCCTTTGCATCACAACCGATCTGTCCTTGACCACCTGTGTTTATTCTCCTCCCCAAAATTTGTTCCACTCTGCACTGCCTACTTCAAAAGACTAACAAGAAGGAACATAATGGTGTCTTTCGGCAGCAGCAACCTATATCAACATCAGTGTTTCCAGAGGCTCTCCTGTCTGCTTTTGGAGATCCAGAGTCAACCAACATCCTGCTTTCCACCTGAAGCAGAACTCAGGCTTACTGTTCAGAGTTTCTCTACACTCCGACCAAGAGAAATACTCTTCCTTGCTAATGTGGAAGCACCCATAGCTGTCAACGAGCTCAGAGTTTGCTCTCAACACCCCCAGTTCAGACAGCCCCAGGTTTCAGAGACCACGTGGTGCTGGCCACCAGCCATGCTGCCAAAGCCCAAGCAGGACGCAGTGCTGGCTGCCCTGTGTTGAGACCAGCAGGTGGCTGGGAGCTCTTCTTGGAGCCAGATTCAGTTCCACGTGTCAAACGCAGAACTTGTTTCCAAATTGTTTCACGGAATCCAGGAATAATTTAGTTTGGAAAGAATCCCAGCAGGTCATGTGGTCCAAGCCCCTGCTCAGAGCACAGCTACCTCCAATGCTGGGTTACACACCTTGGCACAGGAAAGAGATAAAGGGGAAAGGCACCAAATCTTTGGAAAAAGATACTAGATAGAAACTCCAGTGTTGGGAGAGCACTGGGTTAGAGTTACAGATACCTCATATGCACCAAGCGTTTCAGCCTCTTTTCCTCTCCCTTCTCAGGTCAAGAATAACTTCTGCAAAAAGAAAAGCCCCTGTACATTTTCATCCACTGTCTCACAAGCCAAGGAGGCAGCACCATGTCTTGTCAGGAATCCTCTACCTACTGCCAAGTACACTGATTAGGCTTCATTTTCTAATTAAATCCCATCCTGCACGTTTCTTATTATCACTGCTGCATTACTTTTTACTTCCTTTTCCCATTCATTCTTTTTGTCATAAGCAGCCAAAGGGTTACTACTTAAGACACATCAGTAACAAAGTTATCTACAGTCTAAGTGTCACCTGGAAACCAGACAAGGGCTTGCGTTTCCTCTTTCACAGCAATAGCCACAGACAAGGCACAGGACTGAAACTGTAATATTACAGATAACACACATATGGGAAGGGAAAAAAATCTTATACAAGCAAAATTGGAACACTCACACTTTATTGGCTTGCTATCATTTCCAGCCGCCATCTAGCACCACTTTTAATGATCATTTTAAATCATTCTTAGCAGCATGGAGTTTACACTGAAGTGCTGCAAAGATGTTTTGTTGTTTTGATTTTTTTAAAGATAGCCTTACAAAAACAACTGAGGGGGAAGGTTTCTTCCCTAAAGCACTTTCTCAGCCAGCAGCCAGTGGCAATCACATTCCAATGCAGGCTTCCCTGCAGAAGGACTGTCTGTCTGCTTGTTGCCCGTGCAGGCACACCCCTCCTGCCAGCCCTTGCTGAGCTAGCTGCAGACGCCTCCGGACAGGATTACTAAGCAGTGTCTACATGAGGTTGTTTTCAGTGTGCTCAGCCCTAACAGAGCAGAGTATTCCTGTTTCACAACTAAGAGGCCTGAACATGCCATCCTTTATCTCCTTCCTGCAAAGCCTTGGAGAATTCCAGCTAATTTCAAGGAGCTGGCTTTGTCCTGTAAAGCAGCACGTACTGGGAGCTGCCTGTGCACTGCTGCCTCCCTGGCATTATCCTAAGAGCTGACACCAATATCTGGGAAACTGCAGTCACAGAATCCCTGATGCACACTCAAAGGCAAGAGTTTTCCAGATGACACTGCAGCCCTGAAGCCTGTTTCATTCCCCCACCCAAGCTAACAGCAGCCACTTGTTAAATCCTAATTCTTAAGGAACTCATTGAGTTGGGAAGATCTCATTTTGGTGCGCTTGGAGTGTGTTCATATTCTAGGTCTGGTGTTTTGGATTAGTTTTCCTTTATCACACATAAACTTTGTAAAGCAACTGTGTTTCCATAGAAGCACAAGATGATGATTTTTTTACTTATTTTTTTGTTATTGTCGATACATTGGCACTTGTGATAAACTCACAGCAACACTGCCAACTCTGCCGGGAGCACACTTCTGCTGTCAAGTGCTTTTACAAATAATCCTTAGAACATCCAGAAGCAGCAGGTATAAGAGGACTCAAGGCAGCAGCACACGACAGGCTTGAAGCCACAGAAAACACTAACATCAGCGTCAGGGAAAAGTGCCAGCAACCTTCTTCACCTTCCAGCTCCGTATCGGACCTTTGCTGGAGGTCTACGTGACGAATTAAAGGTCAAAACATGGGGCACAATCAAGACAGGAGGCATTCATGGAAGTCTGCAGTTTGCCCACATTGCCCCTCACTGTAACCAAGGAGGTAACCAGACTTTGTTCTCTGTAGCGGTTTTCCGAACTAAATGGTTGGATTTAATGTCTGTAATTGTTACGATTTATTGCATCTGAAGCCAATATAGGGAATGGAGGGAAAGGAGAAATGACCGGCAGCGCAGCATTACTGCACTCAACGGATCAAGGAACTTCCAAACACACATTTCTGCTTTGAAAAAACAGCACCTAGCCTGGTAACACTGTTGCTAAGTCAAAAAGGAGAAAGATGAAGATGAACAAATTCCAGACCGGCGTGGCTATTTTCCAAGCTGAAAATTAATACGTGCAAGAGCAGCAATAAACACCACAGCCCACGCTCAGAAGTGCATAGTTGGCATGAACCACCCACAAGAGATGACTCCTCAGCTGGCACTGACCAGGTAACTCAAACCAGGAGTGCCTGATACTGCTGAGATCTAATAACCACTGTAACTTTTTGCTCTGTCTCTCCTTTCCACAGAAACCCAGCCTCCATTACCTTAAATATGAGCACCTTGCATGCGCATGGCCTCTGTGTCATCTGCCAGGGTACATCAATCCACCCCGGCCCCAGTGACATCCAGAGAGCCAGGAGAACACGTGGACTTAAGTCTCCTGGCATCAGGCTCCGTGCCATTCCTCTCTTTGATAGGGGTAGCCAGGTTTTAGGCCTACGCTAATACTTTCTCCTCTCCAAGCCTCAGGATTTGTCAGGGCATAGAGCAATTAGTGGCTGGACTGTAAGAGATGAGGATTAATAATAGCATGCCAGGGGTAAAGAACCGAGTGCCTCAGGGAAAAGAGCTGCTGAAGGGGACCTGCCAAGATGGCACCCGCCCCAGGGCACGGTGCTGCTGGCATCAGTGGGCCTCAGACACAAGCTCTGACCATGCCAGGCCTCCTGGTCGCATGGCTCTCATGGGCTCAATAAGTGTCTACTAAAAAAATCTTGACCCAGATATTCCCCTAATCTTGCTGCTCACAGACCCTTGCCTTCCAGTACTCAGCCACTGCCAAGACAGCCACGAAAGATGGAATTCAAACAGGTCGTGCTACCTGCAGGAAAGTGCACAAATGCCAGGTATTCAGAGTGACTTGAAAGCAGTATTAGAACCATATATACTCCTAAGCACCCAGAGTGACAAAAGTGACCACTGGTATCTTAGCACACTGTCACCAGTGTTTGTTTGGCAAACACAAAATGAGCTGCTGAAAATATCGGGCTGGGCCAACACTAGCTGCAACCAACTGAACACAGCACCAAAGTTTGGTGAAGATGAAAGCAGTGTTGACTGCTGTGATGTGCAGGAACCTTGGCTATCGGTCCCTGGCAGAACCACCAGCAGGCAGATCCCTGTAAGCCCTCCTTTGTAATGGACAGCTTAGGCTGAAAATAAATGAAGCCCAGACATTGCTTCATAAGGCACCCTACACACACGCCCATGCTCACCCACACAGCACGCAGCACCTCTGAGGTTTCATCAACCTTTACCTCCAGAACAATTCGGTCTGTATCACTCATTCATCGCAGAGAAACACTCCAACCACCTAAAGGAGTGCTGCCTTCCCACACACGACAACACTCTGGTATACTTTGAGAAGGGCTATACTTTCATTTTTGTTTATGGCAAGTTTCACTTTCAAGCTGCGGGAGCAGCCATATCCACACCTCACGTGAAAGTGTTTGTGTCCCAGCAGAAGTTTCCCAGCTGCAGCCGGCATCACGCAGTAGCACCAGTTCCAGGAAGTGACAGCTCTGAGATTGTTTTATTTGGGTTTTTCATGCCACCAAACAGCTGACAACACCAAAACCTTCAAGCGGTTAAAATTAAAAAATTGGAAAAGTTTGGCATCCAATACTTAAACCTTCCGTTCCTTTGTTATTTCTGCAATGGAGCAGAAGGATGCAGTCAAGCTTCCACTTGCAACCCTAAGAGGAAATGTGCTTAAAAATGATCACTGAGCTCCTGCACCACCACGCTTCCTGGGGCGGGAGCTTTAAACAGACACCCACTTTGTGCTGACGTCAAAGGCATTTAAACATCACCCCCACTGAAAAAAAAACAAACCCAAACCAAAACATTGCTTCCACCACGCATCAGGCAGCCCACCTGCTGCAACACCACGGGTCCGAGGGAAGAGGGGTGCCCTGGAGCAGGAGCAGGGCAGAGCCCTCCTTGACACCCCAGGGTTTACAGTCCGAGTGCAAACAGCAGAGACAATAGAGGCGGATGCGTGACGAGATGTTCCTGAATTCCTCCCACGCTTCTAATTAAACAGCACTGTTCGCTACCAACTCTTTTGTTCCCCAATTTAGAAGTGGGAAATTTCTTACTGCTATCTGCATGAAGGACACGGCCCCAAATACTTTTTTTCCCTCGTCTAAAACTGAAGTTCAAGCAGTTCATTTCCACTGGATCTCTCATCGGTGGATAAAAATAGTCGAGAGATTTGCTCAACTGCTCTTGAGGCAACACCTTCTTCTGCTTCCTGTAAATGCCTCTGTATCTATGCAGAAAAGCTGCAAGCAGACAGAAAAGCACCATCCAGCATGCTGAGATAAACAGCTGTGAGCAGTGCAAACAAACCAGGCAGCAGAGCACCTCACTGCTGGCTTTGCACTTTCAGCAGCACCTCAGTCGTGCCAAATATCCTCCCAAAATGAAAAGGTTCGTTTAGAAAAAGGAACTTGAGAGAAAAACATGCCTGTGGAACTGCAGCAATCTCACTGTTTAAGCCAGCTGTGCTGGCTGCAACTTGAGTTACCCAAAGTTGTTTAGGTTTTGTGTCCCCATCTTCCTCCTCGGTTCAGTTCCTAGGTTTTTAGGGAAAGCCCCTTTGCCCCAAGTGCTGACAAGTGAAATGTTGTTAGAGCTATTGCATCCAGCGACAGAAGGTCATTGTGCTAGAGGTAGTTTCTTATGTAAAACTGTTTTCAGATCAGCAGGCTGGGAGGGAGGGAAGGGGGAGCTGCATTTCACCAAAAACTGAACTGATAAGGAAAATGAGACAGCACTGTTTGCTCAGCAGTGTGTTAAGTCATACTGCTTTCTGAACAACAGCAAGTTGGGATCTCAACCATGCCGCAGTCAGATCCTGAAGTTTTAAAGCCCCCTTAGGAACTACAGGCAGCACGCTGGTATCATGCATATCTGTTTACTGTGGATTACAGAACCCAGCAGCACTGGAGAGAGTTTACAGTTAAGATTCCCCTCCAGACGTGCCTCCCAGACCAAAAAAAGGGTTTGCTCTCCCTCAGCTCAAGAACAAATAGTTGGCACTCTCCTCCGGCAGGGAGCAGCTGGCCAGTTGCTACCGTTTCTCACTCCCCTCCATGCCCAGCTACGACATTACCCAAGCTCCTTGTTCATGTCGAAAAATTAAAAAGTCACCAAACCGGGTAGCAAAAAGTTGCCATTTTCTGTTTGGTGACCTTTGTCAGAGAAGAGAGAGAGAGAATATACATGTGCCTAACTTGCTTTTCTTTTAAACGCAGTTTAACACTCAAAATACTGCTCGTGCAAGAAAGTTTGGCACAAGTTTTCAGGCACTGTATACACAATCTCATATTAAGGACTGTGGAAAGTATCCGTAAAAACCAACCAGGCACAAAGAGCTGTGGCCCTACACACCACCACCAGAACAGGGGTTTCTTCCCCCAAACAACTGCTTTGGTCCTTCCTCACTAAGCAAAAAGCAGCTGTGCTCCCCGGCTAAGTGCTACGGGTGGGGAAGTGCCTCCTGTAGGGCTCTGGGAACTGAAAATCATTTCCTAATGCAGGAAGGGGAAATAAAATAAAATAAAAGCAAGTTACAGCCTCGAGCAAGCAGCGCCCACCGCACCGAGCCCGGTTACCTGTCTGAGACCCAAGAGGAAAGGCATTCTGCAGGCTCATCCTCTGCACCCGCGCATGGGAACGCAGGAATTTAAAGCCCCGCAGCAAGCATTTCCTCCTCAGCTGTGGGCAGCCCGCGCCTCCGATCCTATTTAAACCAGGGCTTCCTCGGCCGGGAATGCAAAGTAAACAGGGTCCTGGGGCACGGCGCGCACTCGCTGGCTCCCCCTCCTCCTCCTCCCACTCCCCGTGACATATCTCAGACGCAGCCCAGCCGGGGTGGAAATGACATCAGGTCGGGCACTTCTGAAAAAAACAGCAAAGAGAAAAAAGGCTGAACCTTGAGGCAGTGCCGGTGAAGACGCAGAGGAGCTGCACTGCCGGTGCAGGACGCTGGCAGCAGGCCGGGCTCTGCGAGCTGGAAGTCGACAGGTCCCCGCTGGGAACTAAAGCTCACTAAGCAAAAGAGCTTCTTCCTCCACAGTAGGTTAAACGCCTAAATTTGCTCGGTTCGGCGAGCAGCAGGTTCCATCTGAGCATCTCCAGATGGTCCCATACCGTGTCCTCACTGCTTCTGAGCACCTCTCAGATCCCCACCCAGCCCTGGCCCCATAGAGCCGTGGGCAGTGATCCCCCACTGCCACTGGGATCGGGTGCCCTGGGACAGGTGACAGCAGGCATTTTAATCCCTCTCCCCAGGGAGAGCACGACCAGCCACGACCCACCAACGGTTTCTAATTCTAAGAGAGCTCATTTCTCGCTGCTGTGCCAAGGGGCAATTAAGCCTTATAAACAAATTCATCATCTGGTGCACAGGATGGCATTTCTTGTTTATCCTCTTTCCCCAGCAAGGAGTACAGCAAGTTCCACACTGAGGTAGGAGATGACACTGCAGAAGGTAATCTAAATTTAACTTCCTTTTCCTACCTACACTCAGCAGCCTCTATTTTTTGGGCGCCTCTTCAATGAGCAGCTGTCCTCGTCCATCCCGAGGGGGCCAGCACCCTCCAAGCACCACAGGGGATGTTCAGCAGAGAGGAAACTCCCTTTGGTTTTGGCCTCTCCAACTTCTGGAACCAGGCAGTTTGCAGCAGTGCCAGAAGCAATACCCGCTGTCTTCAAGCCAGAAGTCCTCCCTGAGCACTGCCACCACCTCCCAGCCCCAAGCGAGAACCCCACACTGGGTGTACCATACAATACGGCTGTGAGGATGTCATAAATATTATCTATTTTTCACTAGCTTTAAGCCACCGTAGAGACTTGCTGTCTACAGTAAGCACATCTCCGTTTTTCCTAATAGGCATATCAGCAATTTCCTGAAGGATACAAAACATCAGCATGAACCACCATCAGTTAGGCAATGGGATTTTCCAGCTCTTGTGCTTTCTGGATTAAACTTTCAACCTTTGCTTTTCCAATTCTGAGGACAAACACCAATGATATTAAAGGGCAGCTTTCTGTTTTAGTAATCCCTTCTGCAGCCTCATGTTGTCCTTTGAAATACCCAATTTGGCTGCTGCTATAGGGCCCCGGGCAGATCTCAGGGCCGAGCCAATGCAGCCACTTCCGAATCCCTCGGTCAGAGGTAATCCAGCTTTAACAACCTGCTCTTCTCCAGCATTATCCAGAAGGCAAAGTTACATTCCAGAACTAAGACAAGTCATGAAGGCTGTACTGGAAAAGCAGTAACATCCTTCCCAGCCCCTGCAGTTGGGCAAGTTAGCTCATACCCTTTTGATCCCTGATTGACACACTGTCTTACAAAAAACATAGGTTCTCCTTATCATTGCAATTGCTTTGTGTATTCCAAGTAGTATCATTTTACCCTCTTTTAGTTAATTGTTCTTAAACCCAAAGCCCTAACCCCAGTGATCAGTCTAGTAGCCATGAGCTTCACAGGCAGCAGTTATGAACAAATAGTTCCTTTTGTCTGTAGTGAATTCACCACCTTCTAATTTGACTTTCATAATATTACCAGGTGGGAACAGAAGTCCCCATCCATCTTCTCACCCATTCATTAGTCTGTACTTGTTAGCTAACTTCTTGTGAAAGATATCAATCTTCCTACTCCTCTTAATGCAAAATCTTCTCCCAAAGCCTTCATCTGCTCATCATCTGTTCCAAAACCCTTCCAATTTTCTACTGCCCTTTGCTTGTGAGCACTTCAGCAGAGCTGAAGTAATTATTATTTTAATGAAAGCAGCAGCTAAGTATGGGTTTCACTTCCTTTATGTGAACCTGGAGCTTAACATCTGCAAGGCCACATATCTCACATGTTTATCAAAGATAAAATGAACAAAGCAAACACAAGTTTTTACAGTTTCTCTGTAAATAAATCACGTGAGGGTTCTGAAAAGTCAAGGCTGAAGTAAGAACATGTGAAGGGATCAACATTTTGAAAATCTGCTTGCTTAGGCAGCCACCAGCCACCCTTTTTCAGCACACCAGAGTGAATCGCACTGCAGGTTAGAGGGAAGGAGGGAACAAAGAGCCCGAGCTCTACGCATCTGTACGACTGCTCTCCTGAACATGCCACCCACCCTAAACGTGATGCACAAAGGATGCTCCATGATGGTTTCACAACCCAACACAGCCTTAGGCTTTAGCATGTTACTAAGGTAGGCAATGGAAGTTGTTTGACCCATCGTAGAACTGCAGTGTTCAATGGGACAGGCTTGTGAGCGGGTTAGTAACCCAGCAAGATGCATTATCCATTTTGATACCCTCAAAAAGATAGCTTGACCTTTAGATGATCCAAATATGACAACATGATTGGAACAAAAATGAACGTGTGCAGCTCTGATTTGTCAAGCCTGAAGCACAATGCTAGTCTCAGTGGCTCCACTGCTGGAGTCCTGTTGGAGGAACAGTAAATCTGGGTGGTCTTTAGTATGCCCTCAAACTTCAATATCACAGTTCTAGGAAAAAAACAAAAATCAGATAGTGCAGCTATACATACACAGGATGACCATGAAGGTGGAACAACTGTATCTAAGAGCTCCTTCATTTACCCTAGGACACTGTTGTTTTTGTGTTGTTAACAGCACCATCCCTTGAGCATCAGCTATCTGCTTTCATTAGTCATCCCACAGCCTGGGGTGCTAGAACTGAGACTGCACAGACCTGCCAGGCACTTCAAACAACATGTGAAAGAAGCAACCTGAAGGAGCGTGATTTATCTTTCCCCATCCTGGAGATGGCTTTGGGATTAAAGAAAAAGGGGGGAAAAAAACACTGTATAGGAAGGCATAAAAGCAGATCCCTCTCTCTTTTCAGTTAGACAACATCCAGGAACAACCAAGCTCCATCTGCTTTGACAGAGTAAGTTCTAAAGGTACTTGTTTGCTAGCAAAAACAGGATGAGCTATCTGGAGATGAGCAGTATTGGAATAGAAGAGCAGTGTAAAGCTGCCGCCTCTAGACCATTTCTGCCTGCAAAGTCTGCTCACTGGTCACTGATTCCTGAAGAGCAAAGGGCCACTCACCCACTCCAACACAGCAGCACAGGATCACAGCTTTCCAACACAAAGAGTGGGTGCACTGGGTTCTTGTAATGTCTAGCACTGGTGCTGCCTTCAAAGAATGGCCTCAGAAAATTCCAGACAATAGGAACAGGCCAGTCCAAGCATTTCCCAGCACCTAGAGTATCTTCTCTATTGCACAGGGGATACATGGTCCTGATAAACCTTGCAGATCCTTTGTGTCTACTGCCACAGGACTATTTTGGAGCTGGCTAAACAGGGTTCCCCCCAGCTTCTATGCAGTTCAAAGACAAAACGAGGACACCAAAGTCACTTGCGTTTAATGTTTCCCAGGCCAAACCGACTTCCTCATTGCTAGAAAGAACAAAGAGCAACACCAGCAAAACACATTGCACATGTGGAAACTGACTTGTGAGCCAGTGCCACAACCAGACTGTTCAATACATTTAAACACACAAGGAAGCACAAAGGCCTGTTGGATCAATACATTTTGATGTGCAAGGAAGCACAAGGGCTACAGAGGTCAGAATCTTCTTGGATAGGTCCCTCTCCCTGAAGCCTGTTGCTCGGTGGTTTCAAAGCACAAGACAGTTCTGCTGCTTTACTCAGTCTAGATAAGCAAATAGGGACGCTGCTTTTCAACCTCACCGCTGTCACCTGCGCTTTGTCTCCAAGTAACTGGTTAACCAAGGAGGAAGAGGCTGTGCACTTCAAAACATGCTCAGTGTGGTGGAGAGCCTCAGTGACTGTAACACAGCCAGCAATCCCTTTTCTGACGCTGCTTTCTGCATTAAGCTGCCACAAGAAAGGGCAGGAAGCTGAGACGGGGCAGGGGATGCCCAAGAGGAGCCCTCCCCAGCACCAGCCAGCAGAGGAGGCAGAAGTTGGCCTCATCCAGCCCCACCACTGTTCAGCTGACGGTAGAGCAGTGGCAATGAAAGACCCATCTGGGACCAAGATAGTTCTTGTGAAGCACAGCTTGAAATTGTCAGCCCTCAGTGACGTTGTTTCCCACTGCTTTTTTCTTGAGGAGGGGAAAATCATAGCCACCAGTCCAGCAGGCACTTCTTCCCAGCAGCAGAGCTGTGGCCAAGCCAACGTGTGGTAACAAAGGCTATTTGCATGGTTATTTTGTATGACTACTGTTTCATACCCAGGCCTGCTATGCAAGCCCAGAGGCCTCAAAAAAAGCTTTAAAGTCATGAGCCACTGAGATGGAGGGGAGTAAAGAGATAGAACTGCCCTATTAAAGATGACGTTACCTGCTTCAGTGGAGTCAGGGTCAGTTCCGTCCCTCTAGAGCTTCCAGCTTTTGGGCACCCTTCAGTTCTAGTTTGGAGTGGGCCACGAAATCATAGGAAAGCCAACTCCTCCCTCAGAGCACAGGGCAGGGCAGGGGATCAGCTGTTACACATTTGACGAGATGTCTCCAGCAGGGCTGGCCTGTCAGGGTGCTGCAGGGACACCCGCCAGGCTTCTTGCTGTTGGCAGCACTACTCTTGTTTTCCTTCAGCTCGTGTGTGCAAACAGGACCTTTGGTAAGGGCTCAAGAGGAGACACCATGCTCCAGACCAGGCTGAAGGCAGAGTGCAGACAGTAAACGGATCCCGCAAACGTGGGATCAAGACGGTAAGAGTCTGTTCTTGTTATACCATGTGGGTACCAGAAATACAGCAGGTGCCTGGCCTCTGGTCACATCATCACAGCAGACAGCATTGTTCCAAAGCTGCTAATGCTAGTTGCTTACCAGCATAACCTTGATGGAAATCTCAAGACACCCTCCTCTTAGGGGTGCTATTTGTTTTCTCTCCAAATGACAGCAACTCGCTATTTTTAGTGCTCATCTATGTCTGCTTGGCATTTCCCTTGGGTCTTACCCTTGTTTCACACTGCTGATGCCAGCTCCCACGAAGCGTGTATTTGGTGCCAGAGGGGCTGATGCCAAGTCTGCTTGTCCTGATGCCAAAATGGCAGCTGGCTTTATTGCTGAGAAAGGATTTGCCAAAGCTAACGGCACTAGTGCTGGGGAGACTAGCCTTGATTCCAAGATTACTTTCCTTCTTTGCTCTTCTATTGCCTTTAGATTTCATGGAATAATGCTGCTCCAAATGACCCTCTGGGGTCTTAGGAGATGAATTTTTCATCAGGGTCTAAGGCAATTATGCCAGCAGACAGTCTGAACGTATGAGCCTTCAATAAGTAGGATAGGTACAGACATGGAGCAATTATCTGGGATGCAGCACTGCTGCTGCTGGGCCTCACCACGACAGGAACAAGCCCCTGCAGATCACGCAGGGCTTCATCTTTCTCTACCTGCAAATGTGTTTTAAAAGAATCTCTCACAAAAACAGAGAACTGAAGACAAAGAAGGTTATGTGGCATTTCATCACCAAGATATGCCTGAAGACAGAAGTCTGGAGCAGGAGAAGAGGGTCAGAGATCAGCTGAATTGCATCACATCAGCATGAGCAGAAAGACAAAACCCAGGAGAGGTCACGGGTCCCTACCTTGTTACCCCCCTTTCAAGTGCCACTCTGCAAAATGCTGCTGTGCAGACACAACCCGGTCCCACACACCAGGTGTCGGTGCAGTGACATGGGAAACACCCACACGGATGCAAGTACATACTATGTGCAATCTGTAATTGCACGTCTACAGAGGCATGCAATTTGAAGGGACGGCATCCCTGCACACTAGGAAGCATTTGCCTGTTGACCTCTGCTACTTTTCTTATTAGCCAAAGAAAATTGTTCAGCGATGATTGTCAAACGGGCACCTGATGGCACAGACGTGCTCAGGTCTTTCTTCAGATGTGGTGCAGTTAATTGGACATTTAACCAACTCTGTGCCTTGTCAGCTTCTCTCATTGCATAAGGCTTTGCTGGGATATATGTCACTTACACAGCCCGGTCAGATCTTTCTAAAGTTCACTGGTGTTTTCAGAGCCTAAGTTTGCCAAAACTTGAACAAATTCACAAAAGTTCCCCTCAAAGTCCCCGCAGTCCTGTTTTCCTCAGCTGTTTTTTTTCTTTTTTATACAATAAAGAAGTTTTTTTTTAATTGAGCTCAAAGAATCAAGTTTCTGTTTCCAGCAGAGCACCATTTCTCCATGGCTCATATCTTTCTGTGAAAAGAAGGGATTTTCTGGGAAGTCCTTCAGGGAAAACAGAGACATCAGCAGGCCTGTTTCCCAGCACCCTGCTATTATGGCTCAATAATGTGACACAAGCAATACCACACAGGTTGTGCCGAGGCAAAGGAATGTCCTCACACTGCCCTATACGTGTGCACTAGCGTGCTTTTCAGCTGTTATCCCCAGACTTGGCACCCAGGCTCTGCAGTAGCACCTCCACCCATCTATCAGTGGATGATGGATCACACATCACGGTACACAGCCACAAACAATGGGTTTAATTGAGGCACAAGGAGGCAGGGAAGGCTTCCCACTGACCAGTAACGAGGCAGCACTGCTGGCTCTCCAAAATAGAGAGCACTAAGGGTTGTGTACATGTATCTTCATACAACCAAAGCAAAGAATAAAAGGAAACCACAAGTTTAGCTATTAAGAAAGCTCAATACCACAAGCATTTAAGAGATCACAGCACAACAGTATTAAAGCCATCGCTTTTAAATCACCAGACAAAACACTAGGAGAGCTATCAGATCTTAACTTCTGATGTTAGAAATTTTTCAGAACATGAAACTTTGGGAAAAAACCACTTCAGAAAGCCTCATCTTAAATACATGCTCATCTTCTCTATCCCAAATTACTGTCTTAAGGAGCTCTCTGAGTGCCTGGAGAAGAAACACAAACTCCTCTCTTTCTTTTGAATTGAGGAATAAACAGAAAACGAGGAATAAATAAACCAACACAGTATATATTTAAGTACAGATTCCAGTCTTCCTGCCATTTCACAGACAGGGGTTATGTCAGGACCTGCAAGCCTAACCTTTCCCCTGCAGTAGCATAGGTTCTATTTGGCTTGTGTTGTCAAACGACAACAACGGCCCCCCAAAATCCTACACACTTTGTTGCTCTGCCAACCACAGTGGAGAGCTTTTGGGATCGCATCAACCAGGAAAGCCCTCAGATAGCATCACCTTCATAAAGCATAGAGCATGTGAACGTGGGTTTCCAGGTACCAACTTGCTTTGATTCAAGCACACAAAGCAAATTCAATGCCTCCCACGATAAGCACCCTTCTGCAGCAACTTCCCTGAGCGTAAAACATGGAGAGTGCCAGGAAGCTGCTCGGGATCTCGGCAGCAGAGCTCTAAGAACAGCCATTGGCTGTACTCGGGGGGTGCCCAGCAGCACTGCTGCCCCCAGGACAGGCGCGTTGCGTAAGGAGCAGGCAGCCTGCAGGAAGCCATGCCCGTGGATCGAGTTTCAGCGCTGACATTACGCAGTTTGCACTTCGCTCAAGCATTGGAAGCACTGGTGGCACCTGCAGTTGCAGCCAGGTTCTCAATCTCTGCCGCATACCTGCAAGCCAGGCAGCGCTGTCATTCCAAGGGCAGACACCTCGGACACCCTGCTGTCTTGCTTCATACCGTCCTCCTATCCGTAGGGGCACTCCTTCGGCATCAGCGAACATTCCCCTAGCGTGCATAAATATGCTTTATTAAACAAAGTTCAATGCTCAGTAATTACAAACTCATTTCAGCTTATGCTCAGGACAAAACACTGACCAGCACAACCTGCCTTAATAGGCATTATCTTATCCCAACTAATTTCCATTAGTGGTTGTTATTCCACTAGCAGATAAGGTGAGCACTCCCTTGGCTGAAGCGGGGCTGGAGGAGGACAGGGTGACCCACAGTGCCAAGCCTCCTCCACACGGCCATCTGGGCCTCTCATGTCAGGGCTGCTCAGAGACGAGATGCAATCCTAGAG